GTGCGATGGCCCGATGGTGCGATGGCCCGATGGTGCGATGGCCCGATGGTGCGATGGCCCGATGGTGCGATGGCCCGATGGTGCGATGGCCCGATGGTGCAGGGGCCTGATGGTGCGAGGGCCTGGTAGTGCGGGGGCATGATGGTGCGACGGCCCGATGGTGCAAGGGCCTGATGGTGCGAGGGCCTGATGGTGCGAGGAATCCTGTGTGATGTCGTGAAGATGAGTTGTTTTTGGCCTCAGAAATCAACCCGTCTCTGTTTCCACTCTCCTCTCCTCACACCTTGTTTTTAACRTCTCTTTCTGTCTTTAGATGTTTTTGGGAAACATAAATAAAAAAAAGCCACGAAGCCTTTCTGCTTCTTTTAACCTCCCACACACGTCATCCTGGTTGGAATTAATCAGAGGTATTAACTGGTTCACTCGTCCCGCTGCGACTGGAAGACTTTGATTTTTAAGCAARAATCTTTTGAAGACAGATTTTGTTTTTTATTATTGAGACGTTCAGGTTTTTATCAGATGCAGCTGAGTGCACGTGAGCTGTCAGACGTGCACTGAGGGGAGTTTATGATGATGCAACCTGTTGACACATCAATCTGATGCATTTACCTTTCAGCACCTCTGTCAATTCAAACATTTACTGACATTTTCTCTTTGGAAACGGTTTGTTTGTCAAACATCTGTTGGTTTTTGAGCCGCACTTTTAAACAAAACATTGGTAAATTTGCTTTTGTCTGAAAGTTACTTGAGTATTTAATCAGAAACTCTGAAACAAACGCCTCTTTTGTACAGAAACTGTTGAAACCTCAGGGTTTTTCCTCCAGCAGTGAGATTTAACAGTTAACCTGGTGCTGTTACACCTCTGAGCCGCAGGGATTTAAAATGAAAGATATTCAARCTAAACTGCGCTGCAGTACACACCACACCTGTGCTGGTTTCATGTAGTCAAGATCTTTTCGTTGTTGGAAATCAGAATCAGTTTATTGTACTTGGAGCACAAGGAAATATGTTTCAGTACAGCCCATCCAAAGGAGATAAACAGGGGTACGAGTGCCTAAGGCTGCAGCCATTGAAGGTTTTTTTGCATTAAAAAAAACAAGAAATAGCAAACATGGTGGTAGATGAGGGATAAAAACACATTTCATATGTGTCCCTACAAGGACACAATATGAGTTTACAAAAACCCTCTGCATAAAACACATTTAGCCAGCAAAGATGGTGAATTGAGGAGTGTGTRTGTGAAGCTGTGTGTGTGTGAAATAAGACTGAAACCAGACCCCAACAGATTTGCAAGAGAGGCTCCAAAAAAGCATCAAGCAGGACAGATAAGGGACGTTGAGGAGAGCAGAAGAAGGCCGAACAGACTCGTCTTTGCAGCTGAGATGCAGAAACTCCTTCAAMTTAAAGTCTGTTGTTTCGAATAAACACGACATCATGACTGTGTCCATCTTTTATATACAAATACTCGACTTATTTGACCTTTTTAGAAAATACAGTTGGTAAAACTCATATTCTGCAACGTAAAACCAAATTCCATTCAAGACTTYGTAGAAACTACAAATTCTTTTTACCATGATTTATTTTTTTCATTCTTGCCAAATTTCATTGWGACAGTTTTGAATTCTCACCACAAACTGTTGACCTTCTTTTCACGGTTAATGTCAGCTGAACGGGGAGTAATCACTAAAATGWTGCCAGGATTTGGGTTTGGTGTTTGCATGTTAGAAGATTTAGCTTCCTAAAGCTGGCATTAGAGCAAACACTTTGTAAAGAGCAGTCATCTGCATTTGTTCAACAATAAAAGGCAACGTTTTGGTCTCTAACAGCCACTCTTTCATGGAGCTGAAGTTCCAGTAAAGAGAAACCGGGCAGTGTTCTCCTCCTCCCCCGTTAGCCTTTCCAGTTCCTCCAGGCTAGATGAGATTTGTCCTTCCAGCCTGGTTTGGACCCATCACGGGGCTTTCTTCCAACTGGGCTTGAAACCCTTCAAAGAACTGGATCCAAGCGGCCCTCCAGGCCCGGCCCAGAGCTCTGAAACAGTGGCTCCTGCTTTGATGAACTGCTCCAACAAAGCTGCTGCAGGAACTTTACTCGTGTTTGTTCTCTCTCTGCAGACCCCCCCACCGTGTCCATAGAGGGCTACGACAACAACTGGTACGTGGGCCGCGCCGACGCCGTGCTGTTCTGCCTGGCCAACGCCAACCCCGCCCCCAACGTCACCTGGACCTCGTAAGGAAAACACACCCGGGCCAGCTGCACAGTCCACACTGCTTTTCTCACTGCAATAACACCTCTTTTTWAATTTAGTGCTAATTTCTGAGCAAATAAATGTTCTGATGGACAGATGGCTTTCATGGTGGGGGGGGTAGGGGGGGGTCTTTGATGAAGCGGCTGTTCACTTTACTCATTAATTCAAGGATTCAAGGAAGTTTTATTGTCATTCACAACACATACATGTGGTGGAACGAAATTCTGTACCCAAGGTCCCGGTCTATCAAAAACATGTAGATAAAAACAAACTGATATAGAGAAA